CATTTATATTTATTGGATTTTGCATACTAACTGTTGACCGGTTTGAAATTTTATCATTTTTATGCACGTGAGTTACGTTACGCACGTTGTCCGAATATATTTTAAATCCGGTACGGATTTAAAAATAATTCGGATAACGTGGGTAACCCACGTGCATAAAAATGATAAAATTCAAATGCCTGATAACAGTTTGTAAATGCAAAATCCGATACATAGAAAATGCCGTATAATGTATACATATTTGATCCCATTTTTATAATCTATAAAATTAAATTTTACTTCAATTAAGACAACAACATTAAGCATTTGCTCTCATTTTTTATCATCAAAACAAGATCAATAAGAAGCTTGATAATCGTGATCTCATATCATTGCTCTGAATCTATGCAAGCTGATACAAAATTTGCGTATCTGATACATTTACATGAACATATCGAAGTAAACGGACTCAATTATAGCGGTACCTTGTTATAATGGAGTAATTCTCTGGAGCAAATTAAAATTTTATCATTATATTATATAACACTCTAGCGGATATTATCGGCCCAATCACTACGTTATAACGAGGGTCGTCTGTAGTTTGAAATTGTTTCATCTAGAGATTGAACCTTGTATAAAATTTAAGCTCCGGGTTATAGATGCCTGATGAAACTATTTTGCTTTTGACGAATTGACGAAACTCATATATTTGTCATTGACGAATTAACGAAACTATTTGTTTCGCTAGGTCACGTGAGTTTCGTCAGGCATCATTACTCCGGGTTACTGTTGTTAGGCGAAACAATTTTTGGCAAATGGCGAAATCTGGCTAAAGACGAAACTGGCGAAACTCTGGCGAAACGGCGAAACCCTGACGAACCTAATAGATAGGTACTAATTGGAGAATTGGGAACTTCAAAATTGAGAGAATCTATTTAGTAAAATAGGTAATATATGTAGTAAATGCTATATGCATAGATGAATTTAAATTTTATTAGAGTCTCAGATGCTCCTATTTGATTTCTTACTTGACCATTCATAATTACAAATTCGATTTTTTAAACTTCACTCATTTCCGAAATCATTAAATTTGATTTTACTGTATTTCATTATAAAATGCACAATTCTGAAACCCTTAAATAGAAATATTTAAGCTCTTCACTTTTTATTTAATTCTTACAAGTTTTGAGGCATAAAGATTATCTGCACGATCAATTCGTAATATTAATGTAACTCGGCCTTGTACTTTTTTTATAGGTTTCTTGAAATGGTTATCAATACTATGTAATGATTACTAGATTTATTTATTTATTAATTATCTTGCTGGTGGCAGTTAGTGTGTTGGAGGACAATGTCATTGAGAGAGACGCCACTAGGCTATACGACGTTTCTTCAATGATACTTGCAAATGTTATAAATGTTAGTTTTCCCCGATTTTAGAAGGAAAAACCGGGAGGAAGATGGATGCCATTTGAACCCTTTTACTAATAATGACAATTCTCATAACTTGTCCCTAATTCATAAGCTGCCCTTCTAAATGCCCATTTGTCATACATGTCTAATTCGCGCCTGAATCTTGAGTTTCATCCCGATTCCAAATGTTACCTATAAAAGTGTGACCATGAACTGAAATGATACTCTCCCGAAACCGATGGTGACACCGCATTTCACATTTAACCTCTATGAATATCAATGATACTCTAATTTATTATACAAGTTTAGTTAGATTAGTAAAACGATCTTTTATAAATATTATATGTGACGGCTGATGCTGAATCTTGGCTGATGCTGAATTTAATTAATCTGATTGGTTAGGGTTAGGGTGATCTGTAAAATTTAGCCAATAGGATTTTTTAGATTCAACATCAGCCAAAAGTCAGCATCAGCCGTGACATTATATACTTAAAATAATGTCCTGACTTTTGCTGATTGATTCAAATTTAATTCGAGTAACCCGAGTAGTAATAGTTATGAGATGATATACGGGTCACCCGGGTCACCCGGGTGACCCTTACATGGGTACAATCTCTAGTTATATCATACATTTATATGATACTTATTAAATCTTATTTTGACTTTTTGGGCTGGTCGGCGGTCACAATCTTTTGCCATAGATAATTTTTTGTAACAAAAGCACGTCACTTATGCATTTGTGTAATGCAATTTTATATAAGTGGGTAATTATTTTGAACCCGGACCAATTTTATATATATGAAGTAATAACATTTGGTCTGGATTCAAAAATAATCACCCAAGTGGTTAAAATTCACGACTCCGAATTATTTAAACAACGACAAGATTTTTTGCAGTAAAGTAACCCAGCTTTACAAAAATTGATTAATTATATATATTATTAAAAGTGTCACCTATACTGCAAGAGATCCCATCGAAATTTTCTATGATGACCTGATAGTAACAATTTATATTTGAACTGCCTATTTTCGTAAAAGTATCTGATATTACGTTTTTACTCTGATTTAATTACATATAGAGATTTGATTGTGTCAATACGTATACAATATGAAATCACAATTTCTGATAGCACGTATCATTTCATAGAAAATTATTTCACAAATATTTCATAAACAAGTTCATTTGAAGATAATTAATTAGAGTTATTTTATAAATAATCTTTAACAATCTATTTTGGATACGTACGTTCGTATGTACCCACTTCTGATACGCGATGCATATGCATGCACTGCACTAAAAATGGATACGTTTTATTGAGATTATATATAGAACGTGCGACTATTAATAGTAACAGAAAGTTTACCGTATTATAAAAGTAACCAATTGAATTTTATTTTATTATAAATATTCCTTGAATATAATATCATATCTAAAGAAACAAATTATCTTGAGAATTATATTGTCGTAATGAATTTGGAAAATTCAGACGAAGAAAATAATTCTAGCACAGTCATTGATAAGTCAACACCCTTAACAAAAAGGGAATCGATAGGATGGTGGTTTCTTTGTGCTGCAGTAAGCTTTATGACTAGCCAATCCTTATTAAAAATTTATTTATTTTGTGGCAATAAATATTTTCATCATACAGTATTAGCAAAATTTAAGATAAATTTGTTCTTCGTAGAACGGGGTTTATAGCGGTTCTCCAATAGGAGGTGAATTCTTTTTCTATTGAATATGGATCCCCAGATATAAATTCTTATTTATATATACTTGTGAATATAGTGCTCATTCCTTTACTCTTGGAAAATCTATCTGGTCGGGCTGGATACGAACTTGATCTTGTGACTCCATGTAACACTGCAAGTATTTTATGTTATACATGTAGTTTCTTTTCAATTAGGCATTCTAATTGATTATAATTGATTAATTAATGAATAGACAGTTGAAAATTATAAATGCGTTTTACGTTTTGGTACAGGCTTTATCGATACCAGCTCGTATTCATTATACATAATTTCAATATCAATATTAGTACAAACAATCTTATTCGTTAGCTGCGGTTCTTTAGCCGATCATGGAAGTAGGTATTTAAATTTACTTTATAAATAATAATAAACATTTAAGATTAAAAAAAAATTTTATGCGTTATTTTAGATATGCAAAAAATATTCGCCTTATTTTATGGCTTAATAGGTGCCATCACAACGATTTTGTTCATAACTGTTACTAATCCTCGTACGTATCTCCTCTGGCATAATTGGATCTAACACTGTTGTTTATCGTTACTTTAAAAATAAAGTATAAAAATCATTGTGCTTACTTATTTACTTATAAACTTTCTTAAAAAATTCCAACAGAACTATATTTGTTGGCTGGAGTATTTGCTATTATATCGTAAGTTTTATATCATAAATTTTTGATCAAAGATCTTTTTTAAAAATTTATGTACTCACAATGATTAAATTATTCAGAAATTGTTGTTACGGTGCATCAAACGTCTTTACTATTGCATATATCCCAATATTTGCTCGAAATCATCCAAAGGTTATAGATGCAAAAAATTCAGATGTTCCTATCTCCGAAATTAAAAAATTGGAAGATAAAATGACTGTTAAATTCTCAACGATTTCATTAATTGCGGCAATTTTTGCTGCTATGGTAGTAATGTTTACTACTGGTGGAATTCTTGCATTATTAAAAGATTCTCCATATGCCATTCAAATTGCATTAGTATTTGCTGGTTCTTGTTGGCTGGTATGTGTTAAATATCAAACTTATTGATCGAAATATATAAATGTAACCATTAAAAAAAACTATATGAATTATTTAGATTCTTTTAATATTTCCGGCAATGTGGTTAACTAAGAGGCCAAAACCTCCTTTACCAAGGTGCTTATCCTTTCTTGTTACTTTATAATGAGTTTTAAATTATACTAATGCTAATGCATGTTGTAATAAATGTTTAATAGAGGTGAAAATTATTTATTATATTCTTGGAAACGTGTGGGGAAAACCTTATTATCAATTCGTTC